CCGCCCAGCCTGTGAACAATCACCCTTGAGTCCTTAGGATGATTTTTCACAAGCTGGGTGGTTTAAACTCGGTGACCTACTGAAGACAACTTAGACAAGCAAGTATGAGCAAACATATTATTAAAATGATTTAATATATAAGATATTACTTAATTATATTAAATTATTAAACCTTTATAAATTAAATTATAATATTGAAACTTGAAGAACAAAGTTAGAGAATATTCAAAAAACTAGAAAGATTAAACACAGAGACATCAAAAAATACCAGATCCGTCGCATGCATGGAGAGAGAACTCAAAACTCGTCAAGATCGATCAAGATGCGTGGAGAGAACTCAAGATCCGCCAAGATCCGTCAAGATCCGTCGCTCAAGAATCATCTCACAACAAGATTCTTGTCACAGCTTTCGGGAGAAGAAGAAGAAGACCCACCACCGTCCGGCGGAGCCTTTGCGAGTCTCGCCGATCTCGTCTCCTTCTCTCACTGTCACTCTCTCTCTCTCTCTCTCTCGCTCTCTCTCTCTCTCGCTCTCTCTCTCTTTTTGTTTTTTCAGGTCGGCTGAAATGGAGTGGAGTCAAGGAAGCGGTACTTAGGGCGAACCGCGGTTTTCATTGGGCCGTCCCGCAAAAAGCCCATCCCGCGAATGACCCATCCCGCTAGGCCCGCAATTCTGCGGGATACCAAATCCTAGGCCCAAACCCGCCCCGCCACAGGTTTTAACGGGCCTGTCCCGCGGCCCAAGCCCTACTTTGACATCCCTAATATCAAACAATCTCTTACCCACACATGTTAGTTCTATGAAAAAAGTTAAGTTTGTTCCTACATGATACATGCAATTAGCATTTCTCTATGTTTATTCTATATTTCAAAATTACTATTGTATAAAATATATTAGAGTATATCTCATTTTTATTACAGAGTTTTTCTATTTTATAGGAAGAAATATCAGAATACATTGGATATAGTCTTAGCCAATATTCACTTGTATTATTGGCAATCTTCGCCACTGTTCCCTCTTTTTCCTCAATCTCAGCAGAAGTTTGACGATTAATCGGTTCTTCAACAGATTTCAAAGATTACAATTGTGAAGTAAGGATATCTTGATTTCCTTTCCTTTCCTTTCAACCAAATTCTTTGTTAACTTGTTTATAGTAAATGTGTTTTAGACCAATTCCAATAGAACATTAAAACACTGTAATTTCATCTCTGTATCCCATCAAATTTGGTATAGAATAAATAGTGTTACACCAAATTTGGTATAGAATGAAAGTGTTATATCAAATTTGGTTTAACACTATTCATCACATCAAATATTTAATATATATATTATATTTCATTCAATAGTATAATTTAATTATAATTATTATTTACTCCAAATTTGTAACTATATATAAATATATTATATTATTTGTATTCTTACCTATTTTTTACATAATTATTTTTTTTTTTCAAGTAAATATCACTAAACCATTGTTATCATTTATCTTATATTGTAAAATTGGATTTAATAGCAAATAATTAAACTTTATGTAATACTATCAAATTAATCAAACATTAAAATAATATTTTAATTTTTATTTTATAATATAAATAAACTTGTATTACTAGCTAATACAAATTTTATTAAATAAATATATTATTCTGTTTTATGTTTTTCCTAATTAATAGTTTGTAACTTTTAATATAATATTATATATAAAATAAATGCAAAAAGTATAATATTGCTAAACAGAAAATATAAATGTATAAATTTTATTAATTTAAATTACAAAAATTAACAATTATAATATCTAACAATTATTTATTAATTATAAATTATAAAATTATAAAAAAAATATTAAAGTTAAAATATCAAATAATATATAATTTTAATTTTGGGGTAGTGTTTGATGTGATAGTTGGATATGCCCTTAGGAGAGACATATCACACTCTTATGAATGTTCTCTAAAAAGACCTTGACTCTTCTATCATATATACAGTTAACGATAACGAGCCCTTACTTAACGTACAGAGACTTGGACTTTCTGAATATACAGAATTATTGCCTGCTGCATTTTAGATAACAATTGGAGGCCATTTGCATTGAACTAGCAATCATAACAAAAAAAAAAATGGAGGGGAAGGTGTTCTTGAGAAAATACTTGATATGGGTGATACTACTGTTGGGGCAGCTACATGGATACAAAAGCTGTGTTGAAAATGAAAGGAAGGCTTTGTTGGAGCTCAAGAAATACTTAATCTCAATCTCCATAGAAGGGGATCCCGACTATGTTCTGCCTACTTGGTCTAAAGACACACAAAGCGATTGCTGCAGTTGGGAGGGAGTTAAGTGCAATCTTACAAGCACACGGGTCACCGAGATTGCCTTTGAAGCACTGTCCCTCAAATATAGTTCTCTCCTAAATCTTTCTTTGCTACATCCCTTTGAAGATGTTCGTTGTCTGAACTTACCCAGGAACGGATTCTATGGCTTGTTTGATGATGTTGAAGGTATTCACCATGTTTTCCATTGAAACTTCTTATATTGTGGTTAGTTTGATCGTTTTGTTTTGCGATGAAACTTCTTATATTTTCCCTGAGTTAAGGTTTTGCGTTGGAACTTCTTGTATGGAGAAAATGTTACCTTATTATTTAAAGTTTTTATACCTTTTTGATATTGTGGTGCTGTATTAATATTTTCTCTGTTTCTGCATTGAGTTGCTCATATCTGTGTGCCATTATTGTGTGTTGCAACTGATTGAGATATGTTATTATTATATGTTCAGCAAGATTCTCGTTTGTTGCAGGTTATAAAAGCCTAGGGAGATTAAGAAACTTGGAGATTCTGGATCTCTCTTTAAATTATTTCAACAATAGCATATTTCCCTTTCTTAATGCCGCTACATCACTTACAACTCTCTCTCTTCGGTCTAATTACTACTTGAATGGCCCTTTTCCTGCTAAAGGTATGTTTTTCATTTGTAACTAAGTTGATATACAGAATGACATTATTATTAATGATGTCTATGTTGTTAGTTCGATTCAATAGTTAGGATCACTTAACTTCTTAGTTGTCTAATATTTGTTGAATTTCCTTTCAGAACTTAAAGATTTGACAAACTTGGAATTGCTGGACCTGAGTCAAAACAGATTTAATGGATCCCTAGAAGTACAAGGTAGCTCAAACATTTTAGTTGATTTAATGGCTGTGTATAATATTGGTTTGTGTAATCTTTGAATTCATGATGTTCGTAGGTAAAGGTGCTTACATTTGTTTTCGCTTTTCCCTTGTGACAGATTTATCTGCCCTGAGGATGCTTAAATCTCTGGATCTAAGTCGTAATCAATTTTCTGCACCAACGGAATTGCAAGGCAAGTTTGCTCAAATTAGCAAAAATGGTTGTTTGCATTTATCCCAAAATTAAAAGGTTCTTGTTTGCAGGCTATAAAACCTTAGGTAGATTAAAAAACTTGGAGATTTTGGATCTCTCTGGAAATGCACTCAACAATAGCATATTTCCTTTTATAAATTCTGCTACATCACTCAAGACTCTGTTTCTTAGGTCCAACTACATGGATGGCCCTTTTCCACCTGAAGGTGTGTTTTTTTCCTTTTCAATCTAGAATGGCCTAATTTTGGTGATGTATATTTAAGGACGTCTCAAATTATTTATAGACCCAGCTAAAAAATATTAATGATATATTTAATGATTTTTTTTAAAAGTTAGTAACTTTGATGTATTTTTAAAAATTATAAGCTTTAATCTAGTAACTAGATTTTGACCCGCACTTGGGTAATATACTGTTTAATTCTGAGTATTCGGATCCTCGAGTCGGTTCTGGATCAGGTTTTGTCGGGTCCATGTCTTTCGGGTCTTAGAAATTTGGACCCATATAAGTATCTATAATTTTTCGGGTCGATTTCGGATCGGGTCTTGTCAGATTTGTTGGTTCGGGTATATTATCGGGTCGATTCGGGTATTTAGGACCCGAAAAGGATTCGAAGGACCCAAACTGGATCCCAAAACCCGAAAACTCTAAAAAATCTCGAAGAACCGCAAAAAATTCCAAAATATTATCCAAAATCAGACCCAAAAAATCAAAAATATACCCGGAATTTCACCCCAATACCCGAATTATATTTTTTTGAAATCTAAAAGTTTACCTAAAACCTAATATTATATTCGAAAATCCAAATCTGAAACTTTAAAAAATACCTGAATTATCAAAAATATACCCAATCACCTAAATATACCTAATGTATACCATAATTTGTGGATACTTAGAATACCTGATCGGGTTTCTAGTAGGACCTGGACGAACCGAGACCTGCGGATCCAAACAAAAAATACCCAACAGATACTTTAGCAATGACCCGAACCCGGACCTGGATCTGTATTTCCGTGTCGGTTCTTGTTCGGGTCTGTGTCAAATACTCAGACCTACTTCTGCTGATAAATTTGTAAACTTACAAATATATAATTTTTTTGTATAGATTTGAAGCCCATTTCGTTGTAAATAAATGTTAAAATTATTGGGCTTTTAATTGGTGATTTTCAGTTGGGCTTTTAATGGATGATTTTCATTAAAAATAAAAGGAAGTTGAATGTTTTGTAATTTCCTTAAAAATTAGAGGCAAATTCATAAGCAGTCATCTGCTTTAATAGTATAGATATATAATTTTTAAAAAATAGTTATCATAATTTATCTATTTAGGTTTTAAAAAATTATTATTTTCTTAATTTCTTCTTATTTTTATATTTGGTCCATGTTTTACCGCCCCACTAGCACATCTTATTAGACGGAATGTTTTGTTCAACTAATTCAGTTAATCATTATTGATTTAACTTGTAATGCCATTAATTTGTAAGATTCTTGTTTATCATTGTTAGTTTACTTATTATGTATTTGGTTAGTTTGTAACATTCTTGTTTGTGGTGGGAATCCCTTTCAGAACTTAAAGATTTGGCAAACTTGGAACTGCTGGACCTGAGTGAAAACAAATTTAATGGCTCCATACCAATACAAGGTAGCTTAGAACTACTCTCCAGTAAAACATGTTTCTTGAGATCATCCATCATATTCATAGGCAAAGTTGTTTCCTTTGTGTGGGTTTTTTCTTCTGGCAGTGTTACCTGCCATGAGAAATCTGAAAGCTTTGGATCTAAGTGGTAATGAATTTTCTGCATCAAATAGATTGCAAGGCAAGTCTAAACATATCCTTGCTAATTGCATCAAAATTGGTCATGAGCTAATGTGTATCTAAATTTGCATTTGCATTTGATGCAGGGATTTGCGAAATGAAGAATATGCAAGAGCTTGATCTCAGTCGAAACAAACTTGTAGGTCAGTTTCCTTTATGCTTAACTGGCTTGACTGGTCTTCGAGTTCTTGATCTATCATCAAACACTTTGACTGGGAAATTGCCATCTGCTCTCACAAGCCTTAGATCCCTCAAGTACTTATCGTTGCTAGATAACAACTTTGAAGGCTTCTTTTCACTTGGTTTGCTTGCCAACCTATCAGAGCTGAGGGTTTTCAAACTTAATTCAAGGTCCAAATCACTTCAAATAGAGTCTGAAGGCTTTTGGAAGCCAAAATTTCAACTGAGAGTTGTTGAACTACCATCTTGCAACTTGGTGAAGGTTCCTTATTTTCTCATATACCAAAAGGATTTGAGTCGCATTGATCTTTCTGACAATAAAATATTTGGAGGTTTTCCTCATTGGCTATTGGTAAACAATACAAAACTCGAAGTTTTGTTTCTACAAAATAATTCGGTTACAAGCTTTCAGCTACAAGAATCTGCTCATAATCTGCGTATCCTGGATGTGTCAGCCAATGAATTCAATCATATGCTTCCTGAGAATATTGGGTTGGTACTTCCTCATTTACAGTACATGAGGCTAACTGATAACGGTTTTCAAGGACGTCTGCCATCTTCTCTGGGTAACATGAAAGAGATTGAATATCTGGATATATCTCACAACAACTTCCATGGGACGCTGCCAAGAAGTTTTGTTTTTGGTTGTCATTCCTTGAGAATCTTGACGCTGTCACACAACAAACTAAGTGGAGAGGTGTTTCCAGAATCAGTCAACTTCACTAATATGTGGGAGCTGTCTATGGATAACAATCTGTTTACAGGAAAGATTGGTCAAGGTTTGCGGAACTTTGAAAGCTTGCATGTACTTGACATTTCGAACAACAGACTCACAGGTGTTATTCCAAGCTGGATTGGTGAACTTTCATACTTAAACGTAATACTACTTTCAAACAACTCATTGGAAGGTGAAATACCTATTTCTTTGTTCAACATATCTTATCTTCATCTGTTGGACCTTTCCGCCAATATCTTATCTGGTGGCATACCTCCGTATGTCAATTCAGCGTTGATGATGGTAGTATTACTTCTTAAAGATAATAAATTATCAGGGGTTATTCCAGACACATTGCTGGTGAATGTCTCCATACTTAATCTGAGAAATAACAGATTGTTTGGGAATATTCCTGAGTTCACCAACACCCAAAACATACATTCTCTTCTTCTTCGGGGGAATAACTTAACAGGGAGTATTCCTCGCCAGTTGTGTGGCCTAAGAAACATCCAACTTCTTGATCTTGCCAACAACAGGCTGAATGGATCCATACCTTCATGCTTCAGCAATACATCATTTGCTTTTGGGAATGTGAATATTTTATATTATTACAGCACCGTGACCAGGTCTGGTCTTTCGTTCAGTGGCTTTTCTCAACAAAAAGACTTCCGTGTTGACACAGATTTTGGCTATATATATTTCAAATCTTCTATTGTGCTGGATCCTTTTAGTATGGGATACAGTTCAGACACCCAGATTAAAATTGAATTTGCAACAAAACATCGATACGATCCTTACATAGGGGGAAATCTTAAATTATTGTATGGAATGGATCTCTCAGGAAATGAATTGAGTGGTGATATCACAACAGATCTTGGAGGACTTCTGGAACTACAAGCTCTTAATCTTTCTCACAACAACTTATCAGGATTGATACCACAAAGCTTTTCAGGTCTGAAGAATGTGGAAAGCCTTGATCTCTCTTTCAACAGGTTACAAGGCCGGATCCCATCACAGCTAACGGAGCTGAGCAGCCTAGCTGTTTTCAATGTCTCATTCAACAATTTATCTGGAGTCATTCCACAAGGAAAACAGTTTAACACCTTTGGTAAACCAAGCTACTTAGGCAATTCTCTTCTTTGTGGGTTATCAATCTCAAGCTGTGACATCAATACCTTTCAAGAACAAGATAGTGGAGTGGAAGCTGATACGTCTGTAGTCGACATGGTATCTTTCTACTGGAGTTTAGCTGGAGCTTATGTGACTATACTTGTTGGATTACTCTCATCTCTCTCTTTTGACTCTCCTTGGAGAAGATTTTGGTTCAGCATCGTTGACGCTTTCATCCACAAGGCGAAGAGTTTGTTGTGGTAAAACTATCGTTGGGGGTGCAAAGTCCATTCTTGTGTCCTCATATGTTCCTCTTGCTCTTCTCAGAACGTCCTGCTTTGTTTCACATAACCTATGTACTGCTTCAAACTTTGAATAAATGTAATGCCCAAACATATATCAAAGAGCTGGTTTGGTGGTTTGTTTGATAAATAATACATATTAAAATACAAGAACTTCAGCTGAATTCTCGTTGTGTTTTCATTTATGAAGCTGTGTCATCTGAGCAACATCAAGCTTTTTCACATCATAAGCTCAATTGACCCTGGTGAATTTCTAATTTTTAAAATTTTACATGTATATATTTCTTTAGAAACTGGAAAAATACTGCAAAATTTAGTTAATTGACCCACATACTAAATGTTAAATACTAATTGACCCTCCTAAAAGATTTTCCTACCTCCGCCACTGCTTCAAACCTCATGCTTCAATAATTTTTCATTTGGATCGAGAGAAAGCACATCATGATTGGTGACTACTACTATCTGGAAATTATCTCTGGAAGGAGCCTTGACATGGGATTCTAGGGGCATAACTAGAAATTATTTTCGTCCGGGGCAAAACTATAAAACATTACTAAATATCTCCTGTAGAATTGAATTTTAACAGAGGCACTAATAAAAAGCTTGACAAATTTACACCAACTTAAAAAGTTTCATGGTGGGCAAGTGCTCCACGCCTCCACCCATAGTCTATTATGTACATTCGCCGCCACTGGGGCCGGGGATTCTAAAAGTTATCTATATTATTAAAAGAGAAGTACCCATATAAAATACCCCTTAGTTTTCACTTTTATTTATAATAGCATGCCACTGAAGTTATTAATTACCCTACTTTATAGGATTTTTTGTCTTTTCACTTTAATTAATGCATTTCCAAAATCAAATTTTAACTAAAAATAATTATGACAAGAATAATTAATGAAAATAATTATTTTCATTTATACCTTTCGTAATTAAATAAATAAATTCTATAGAAATTGTTTTACTAATTCCATATACATAATAATTAATTCCAATATTAATTAACCTATCTTTTATGATTTTTTCTTATTAATTATCTACATATCTTTAAATAGTTAATGAACAATATTGTTTTCAAAGATATATAATTATATTTTTATTATTTATAAGTAATAACTAAAATAAAAATCACAAAAAGAAACATTTATATAATATATAATACATAGATTAATATAAACATATTATGTTATATATATTTTTATATAAATAATAGTTCAAGGTAAATTCAGAATAATAAAAGTTAAAAAAGTAGAAATATATAGGACCATATATTTTAAATAGTAGATACAACAATTTAGTTATACATTATCATAAAATTTTGATCCATAAAAAAAAACATTTTTGCAGATATACGGGTCATATTTTTAAAATAAGTATGACCAATGATAGTTTATAAAATAAAATTACTCAATATAAACTATAAAATTATGTGTTTCAAATGTCTTTTTAAACAATTATTTAAATGGGTAAATTTAGAAATATATATTATCACTTATAAAATATATAAAAACAAACACTTGCGCAGATCAAACAACAAAATTTTCGATATTCTTCTGTTAAAATTAAACCCATGAGTAATTTGTAACCATTTAATTGATACTTCATTTTTTTATTTTAAAAATTTCAATCCAAATGTTTTATATATTAAAAAATTTATATAATTTGAACATCAGGCTTTTTCTTAGAAATGTTATAACTAATTTATCATTTTTCGTATATCATATTAACTCTTACTTCTCAAGATTTGATGTATCTTTAACTGAAAATTATTTTCAATATATCGTCTACATGTTAGATTTGTTTGTATGATACCCAATATTTTTGATACAATAAATTGTTAACACACACAAAAAAAATTTAATATAATACAATTAATTTTTACAAAAATTTCATCTAATATAAAAATTTAAAAAATAAAATTAATACCCGTGCGGCCGCACGGGTCAAGGTCTAGTACAGTTTTAAATCATATTATGATTGTTCTCGGCAAAGACCTTTACTTTTTTATCATATTATAAGTTAACGATAACGATCACTTTAACAGACACTTGGAATTTTCTAAGTATACAAATTCTTTTCATGCTGAAATTATATAACGGTGGAGGCATCAATAACAAAAAAAAAAAATGTAGGGGAAGGTGTTCTTGGAAAAATACTTGATATGGATGATATTAATATTGGGGCAGCTACATGGATACAAAAGCTGTATTGAAAAAGAAAGGAAGGCTTTGTTGGATCTCAAGAATTACATAATCTCTCTTACTGTTAAAGAGGGTTCCGACTATGGTGTTCCTACCTGGAGTTACGAAGCAAATAACGATTGCTGCCGTTGGGAAGGAGTTAAGTGCAATCGTACCAGCAAACGGGTGGCCGAGATTGTCTTTAGAACACTCTACCTCAAAGAGAATTCTCTCTTAAATCTTTGTTTGTTGCATTCCTTCGAAGATGTTCGTAGTCTTTCTTTCCATGGAGACAACTACGACCATTTCAATGGCATGTACAACCATTTCAATGGTATGTTTGATGATGTTGAAGGTATGTGCCAGGATTTCCCTTGTAGTTAGTCTGATAATTCTTTTTTTTTAATATTTTTCCTTGGAACTTCTTATTTATGAATAATCTAGTTAGTTGTTTGCGAATTCGCGGATATTATGTGCAGTTGATGGTTAAATGTGAGGAAATTGGAGGATATGAGATTAGTCACATTAGTCATATTGAGGTTGAGTGAAGTTGGTCTGGGTAGACCGTAACTGTCTTGTTGGTGAAGGCTAGCGTGTTAGAGCTTCCTAACATCATGATTGCATAGAAGTAGAGAAATATTTGAAAAGTTTAGTTGGGGTTTGTTTAGGTTCTACTCTGCTCTGATGCTATATAAGAGCATCTCCAACCCCACTCTATAATTTACTGCAAAATGGAGTGGGAAATAAAGTGATGAATAAACAAAAAAATAATAATTACTCCATAATTTGTTCATCACTCCATTTTCCACTTCATTTTGCAGTAAATTATGAAGTGTGGTTGGAGATGCTCTTAGATATCAGGCTGAATGGATCTTTATTAGTATTGTATTATAGTATTTATACATAGTACAAACTGTGTTTCAAAAACAAAAAAATACATAGTACAAACTAGGATATATACTATATTCTCACTATTTACACAATGATCCTTTTAGTATATCTATATTTCCTAGTAGCATTCACGTCAAACAATCATTTGGTTTCCTTCACATGAAAATTATAATAATGATTTGAGATATGTTATCATTTTTATATGTTTAGCAAGATTCTCGTTAATTTGCAGGTTATAAAAGCCTAGAGAAATTAAGAAACTTGAAGATTCTGGATCTCACTTTAAATTGAGTGGACCTTTTACCACTAAAGGTATGTTGTATGTCCATTTGTAACGAAGTGGATATATATGTTGTTGGTTCGATTCAATATTTATACTTGTTAAAAAAAAAATAATAAGTCGTATATTTGTTGGTTTTCCTTTCAGAACTTAAAGATTTGAAAAACTTGGAACTGAAAATACTCTTGAGAAAGAGAGAGAGAGGGCGATGGCGGCGGCGTTTAGGGTTGGTCTCGAAATCTCCTAAATCAGATCGGAGAAGAACCCAACGCTTTCAGTACGTAACGAGCTTCGTGTGTGCTGCTTCCAGTCTGTGTTTACTTTTCGAAGACCTTGGAGAGAGAATAGATAGAAGAGTCGAAAGGAAAATACGAGATCCAGTAGCGGTGAAGAGAAAAGGAGCTTCCTTATGCCTCTTTATCGCTTTCATTAAGTCTTTCTTACTTCCTAGCTGAGTTTCGAAAACCAAAGTGATTCTAAATCCCAAAACCAAAATGATCCGTACTCGAAAGAGAAAGGAAACGTATTTATTGGAGGAGCTCAAGGAGATGGAGCTGTTGGAGGAAGGTGAAATGGTAGACATCCCAGATCTAGAGGTTGAAGACCTCATTGAGGAAAACCTACTCAGTGTCATAGTCCGTTGCTTAAACCCTCAAGTTCACAAGGTTGGAGGGTTAGTGAAAGCTTTACCTCCAATCTGGGGTATGGAGGAGAGGGTCAGAGGCAGGGGAGTGGGAGAGGACAGAGTTCAGTTTATCTTTGACTCAGAGAGAGATCTGGAGTATGTGCTTACTAAAGGACCGTGGTTTGTCAATGGTTGGATGGTGTCGATGGATCAGTGGAATCCAAATCCAAGTCCGGAGTTTCTCAACAAGATTCCTTTTTGGATAAGAGTAAGAGGTCTGCCAATTCATATGCTGAAGAAGGAAGTGGTTGAGATCATGTTGGGACCGCTGGGCAAGGTGGAGAGTGTTGAGCTACATGCTAAACACTCAAACTCACTGGAATATGTTAGAGCCCTGGTGCACATCAATACTGAGGAGCCACTACAGTTCCGGCGGATAACGAGGCTTAAATCAGGTGTTACCATTCCTACAGAGCTCGAATATGAAAAGCTGCTAAAGATTTTCTTCAAGTGTAAAAGGCTCACACACGACCAGTTAAAATGTCCGCTGCAAATCTCTCACAACCACGAGGAGGAGTGGGGAAACCAGAGGAAAAGGAATGAGCAAAACTTGAGGTCTAAACTCCAGGAGAAATAGAGTAGGGCGAAGGAGGCGATCCAGAAAACGTTGGCAAAAGGGGAGGCTGCGAGGTATACGACGATAAGAGGAGGTAGCAGAGGTGGACGACGTAAGAACCCAGAGGATAATAGGCAAGAGAAGAGGAAAGGGAAGAGGGTGGCTTATACTCCACAGCTGGTCTGGAAGCAGAAAGGAGTACGGGGAGTTTCTAAGCTCTCAAGAAGCACAGAGGAATCTATTGCTACGCCAAGAAGTTCTGGAGAGCAAAGTGGGAGGAGAGGACATGGTAAAGCGGTATCACTAGGAGGAGAGAGTTATGTACAGACCCCTGCAAGTGCTTCAGTCTTCAACCGTTTAGGAGGTAAAGAGATTGGGGAGGAGGAGGATGGTAATAGAAAGGGAAGTGCTGAGAAACACTCTGTAGAGGACTTAAGGAGTCGACTAAGTGGAAGTTCGCAATCCGAAAAGCAAAAGGCAAAATCGAGTAAAGGAAGTAGAAGCCCACCTACAGTTTTTGAGCGTCTGGGAGCACATATCCGATCAACTCCGAGAGGGGAAATGTCGGATGGTTTGATGGCGTCAAAGCGGAGGCGTTTGAGTTCCAGTGATGAAAGAAAGCCCAAGAAGGGTAGGATAAATTCCCAAGAGAAGAAGGAGATTTCCCCATCAGTCTTTCAAAGGCTCGGAGGAGTAGTCTTAGACTCAGACGAGACAGCCAAGGTCTCTGATCCGAATGCTCAATCTGCTCTAGTAGCAGCGATATCTCCATTTCATTCTGCTCCTGTAGCAGCTTTTACCCCAGTCCATTCTGTCTGTCGGATAGCATTGGCAAGTGGTTCAAAACAGAAAGAAGGGTTGATGGATAATTCCAACCCTTCGAGATCAATATGAGGATATTAAGCTGGAACTGTCAGGGCCTGGGGAATACCCCGACAGTTCGACATCTAGAGGGCATACTTGGTTAGTATCGCCCGGAGATAATATTCCTTAGTGAGACCAAAAGTAGGAGAAAGTATATGGAGTATGTGGTGGAGAGGTTGGGCTACCACGGGCTTATTTCTGTGGATGCCAGAGGTAAGAGCGGAGGTTTGGCTGTCATGTGGAAAAACTCTTGTGAAGTGAGGAAACTACAAGTCAACAGCAGAATTATAGATATGGAGATTACTTTCCAAGATCAGGGGTTTTTTCTGTCTTGTGTGTATGGAGACCCGGTGAAAAGCAGAAGAAGTGAGGTTTGGGAAAGATTGGAAAGAATTGGAGCTGAAAGAAGGGGAGCGTGGATCTTGACTGGCGATTTCAATGAAGTTCTGGACCAAACCGAAAAAGAAGGCTGAGCAGAAAGACAGGAGATGGAAGGTCAAGACTTCATGCAATTGTTAACTAATTTGGGTCTGTGGGATATAAAATATGAAGGAAACTGTTTGTCTTGGGCGGGTAGAAGATCAAATGGTCTTGTCCAATGTCGTTTGGATCGGGCTGTAGCAAACCAAGAGTGGTTAAATTTGTACCCACAAGCCACTACCTTTTATTTAAAAAGAAGTTGTTCAGATCATAGTCCCATTCTCACCTCTTTGGATGGATATCAGATGAGGAATATTCATATGTTTAGATACGACCAGAGGTGTGTTCAAAGGGAAGGTTTCATTGGGGCTGTGAATAGAAGCTGGAAAACCTATGGCAGCGGGCAAGCGAGTGTCATGACCCGAATTACAGATTGTAGAAGAGCCATTTCTGTTTGGAAAAGACAGATGAAACCAAATTCGGCGGTTCGAATCCAGGAGCTGCACTTTAAAATAGATGAAGCATCCAAACAAGAACATTTCAAAAGAGAGGAACTTGAGAATCTCAAGAAAGAGCTCAATGATGAGTACATTCATAAAGAAACGTTTTGGATGGAAAAGAGTAGACTTACATGGCTGCGATCCGGGGATAGGAATACCAAATTCTTCCATGCAGTAACGAAGAACAGAAGAGCTCAATGCAGAATCAAGAGTCTCATCGATGACGACGGGAAAGAGTGTTTTGCAGATCATGAGTAAGGAAGTATAGCAGAATGCTATTTTAAGAAACTATTTATGTCTGAGGACGTGGGCTTTGTGTTGGAGGAATGAGATGAGATACCAAGCAAGTTGTCATCTGAGCAGAATGCCAAATTAATGCTACCAGTATCAAAGGAGGAAGTGAAGAAAGCAGTGTTTGACATTAATCCAAACAAATGTCCAGGTCCAGACGGAATGAATGGTCATTTTTTCCAGCAATTTTGGGAAACAAGCGGTGATGACCTGACACAGATGGTGCAGAGATTTTTCGCCACATGAAGATTGGAGGAAGGTATGAATAATACCAACATATGTTTGATACCAAAGACGCTGACTGCAAAGAAGATGTGTGAGTATAGGCCAATCAGCATGTGCAACGTCGCCTACAAGATAGTGTCTAAATTGATGGCAAGAAGATTGAAGAAGGTGTTGCCTGTTGTCATTTCAGAAACTCAAGCAGCTTTTGTGGAGGGGAGATTGATATCCGATAACATACTCGTCGCACACGAGCTCCTCCATGCGCTCAATTCTGAAAACAAATGCTCCAAGGAGTATATTGCTATAAAAACAGACATCTCTAAAGCATATGATCGCGTGGAATGGACATTTCTTGATCGAGCAATGCATGTTATCGGTTTCTCAGAAGCTTGGCGAACTCTCATTATGAGCTGTGTCTCATCAGTCCATTACCAAGTACTGGTCAACGGTGTAGCTGATGGAAATATCAACCCTACGAGAGGGTTGAGACAAGGGGACCCCCTCTCCCCTTACCTTTTTGTTATCTGCACTGAAGTACTGGTATAGATGCTGAAACTGGCAGAGAGTAAAAGAAGACTATCAGGTCTAAGAGTTGCAAGGAGAGCTCCACCAGTCTCTCACTTATTATTTGCCGATGACAGCA